GACATTGTGGGCAGACAGAGTCCAGAACTGAGAGGTCTGAGTTGATCAATCCCAGGAAGCCAGCTGTAGCTTTGTGGCAGGGTAGTGAGTAATGCTGCACCTAGTTCGCTGAAGTTCAGGCTGGCTTCCCCTTGGATGGCTGGAACCATATTTGTTTAGTTTGCAATAGTCCTTGGGTCTCCCACCTGTTCGAACTGCTGGAGCCGGTCCCTAGGAGCCACTAGATGGAGCCCACTTGCAAGAGATCTGAGTTGTGAGCTCAGTCGGCCCTCGTCCAGGATGGCTACCAGCCAATGGCCCTGTCCTGGCGGCAAGTGAACCTGATCATTCATGAGCACTGGTGTCCCTGGCATGTACTGCTTCATTCCACTGCTGCATCTTCTGTGGATGCACACTGTGGATCTGAAAGTTCAAGCTGCCTTTCCAGTGCAATGAGCCTGGGCTCAGGAAGAAAGCCTTCCCTGACACCTCCTTCTTCTTTGTTGAAGTCTCTCTCCTCTCTCACCACGGGCTTCAATTTATTTATTTGCTACAGGGTCTCACTATGCAACGCCAACTTGGTAGAGATCCTCCTGTCTCAATCTTCCCAGCACTGGAATAACAGGTGTGCGCCACCACACCCAGTTTTGGGGCTGGTGTGGCACATCTGGAGTCCGGGGCCTGCTTGGCATGTGGTACTGCAGATGGAACTCGGGACCTGGCACTTGCCAGGCAGGTGCCTATGCTGCCGAGCTATCTCCCCAGCCCCTTGGGCTTCAATTCCTTTTTGTTTTTTTTTCAGTACCCAGGATTGAACTCAGGACCTTGCGGTTGCCAACAAGTGCCTATTCTACTGAACTATCTCCCCAGCCCCTTGGGCTTCAATTCTTTTTTGTTTTTTTTCAGTACCCAGGATTGAACTCAGGACCTTGCGGTTGCCAACAAGTGCCTATTCTACTGAACTATCTCCCAAGCCCCTTGGGCTTCAATTCCTTTTTGTTTTTTTTTCAGTACCCGGGATTGAACTCAGGACCTTGCGGTTGCCAACAAGTGCCTATTCTACTGAACTATCTCCCCAGCCCCTTGGGCTTCAATTCTTTTTGTTTTTGTTTTTTTGGCGGAACCAGGGATTGAACTCCGATCCTTGCGTTATGCCAGTCAAGCGCTTATCCTACTGAGCCATCTTCCCGGCCCTGGGCTTCAATTCTTATTATTTATTTTTATATTTGTTTTATTTTTAAAACTTTATTCAGTATTGTCTTGACCATGATTAAAAGATGACATCGTCTTGTTGTTATGCCCTGGCAAAA